GGCTGCTCCAGCCTTCTTATGAATCAAAGCACGTTCGCTTTTGTGTTTTTTTTTCTGGGAATGGTAGAGGAATAAAGTCAGTTAACTCTCACTATTTGGAGATTCTGATAATGATACAGAATCCCGAGCTGTGTCTGTCGGAGACGAGGTCATGTTTTCATCTGTTTGATTTTCCATATTAGATTTGAGTCCCCCCCCACCCCCTGTTTTTATTTAATCACCAGGCTGATAACTCTGAGCTTGATACCTTTTTTTTTTTTTTTTTGGAAAGTCTCAGAAATAATTCAAAACCCTCGCTTAGCAGCACGCTTTTCCATAACTGCAGTGTGAGGCGCAGCCCTCACAGCTAGCCGGAAGCTCGTCGGGAGGAATGTGCGCGCATCAAGCAGTGGTATTTTATTTTTAACCACAGTGTACACACTGCATCCTGCCCCTGCCCAACGGGCATGTTATGACACGGGCACACCAGAGCTCCAGCATCCTGTTTTTGAACGGGTAACGCAGAGTTCTTTACACATTTCTCTTCTGTCCTGTAAAAAAAACAAAAAAAACCCCTAACCACATCCTTACTTCTGAGACACGGGAGGATTTATGGCACGCACGCAGATAAATAATTTTTATGGTCGCTGTTTACAAGTCAACACATGTAATCTCCAAAGTCTTGCCAACACGTGGTGCGTGATGTGGAAGTGGCTGCAGTGCAGACGTGGAGGTGAATACATGTTGCTGGATGAAGAAAGCATTAGCTTCAGTTCATCTGTTGGAGCGAAAGCGGAAAAGTCGTGGCAGGAATGGAAGTGAAGGGGGCTTTAGAAAAAGATGAACAGGGACAGAAGGTGGGCCCACACCTGCGGTCCCCTCGTCTCTGAGGGGATCCAACTCAAACAAGTGGGCCCACCATCATGTTTTTAGGATCCTAGTCAGCTAGAATCAGTTGTTTCTCCTTGTTCCAGTGCCTGAATATGCAGATTATTTCTCAAACTTGACTGATCAGGTTTACAGACAAGATGCTCTTTGGATTGCGCTCTATTTTTTTAGTAAATAAAGTGGAATTAATCCCTCGGAACATGCGAGTGATTCTCCGAATCTCTGAAAATGTTGGTGTTTTTAAGAGATAAGCAGACGTACTCGTTTATCTGCAGGAGGAGGGTTACTGGAGTGCACGTCTCTGTGCGCGATCTCACGTCCTGTGGGCATCGTGACCCTAGACTCACCCCATCCAGGCTTTGACCCTGCACTAGCTGTGGAATGTGACCTCCCTGGAGGTTGTCTTAAGCATGAGAGTGTAGATTGTTAGCCTTCTGCTGGTGTGCGTCAGATCTGCTGAGCTGCTGCTTTCTTGTTTCTTAACTAAAGATGGCAGCAGTTGGAGCGGCGGGTGGCGTTCCAGTGGATGGAGAGACGTCTTCTTCCTGGGTTGTTATGTCTGTCTCATGGAGCCTTTAATGGTGAAAGGACAGTGGTGTCGACATGGGGAGAATTGCTCTTTGACTTCCAGATAAGAAAATAAGCTTTATAGAAGTAAAATCACAATTTAAACATCTTTTTTCTATTAGTTTAGATTTGACTTCCTTGTTTTTACTTTCCTCTGTCTAGTTGTCAAATGTTCATGAAGGCTGCCCAAGGCCTTCATGCTCTGCTGTGTAAATACAGTGGGGGCTACATTTACTTCACTTTCAAAGGGATGTTTGGTTTGTTTTTAAGCACCTCTGAGTACTGGTCAGAGTGCTCTGTGTCTGAGGAATCAGAATCTTTCCCAGAGGGAGGGTTCAAGCTAAAAGGCCACCGGACCACTAAGTTTTTCATGCCTTCAAAAAAAACCTTCACAGTGATTGGGGCAACATGCACACAATGGATTCTCCACATTTTCACACAGCACCCCCATTTAAAAGAGAAATAGAGAATAAACCGTTAAGGACACCAATATATGATCTGATTAAAACTATTCCAAAGAATTTTTCCAGAGTTTTTCCTCCCCCGGGCACCTGTGTCACATTATTCCTCACATTACCTTTTAATATAATCTGAAGCTTCCCTGAAGTAGTCTGCCTACAAACAGTGATGTAACTCGCAGAAATGACTAAATTGAGTCCGCCGTTATGCTAAAATATTCTCATGAAATATTTGTAACACTTACAGGCGCTCTTGTTTCGTGCCGTTCTTCGGTCAGAGCAGCTGTCCGGCTGTTTTATCCTGTTTGACGTCTTACAGGCCGATGCCTCTGATCATGTCCTTTCTGTTTAGGGGCAGACAGAAAAAAAGGCTCTCTGACTTTCTCACACCTGGAACCCCTTCTTTGTGCAGCGAGAAGCATGATGGCAGTTGTTATGCTAAACTTTGACTAATCATTCCTTCCATGTTGATTGTCCCTAAAGCGGAATGTTAAGCATGGCTGCCGATGATGACTGACCCATTGTCTCCGACAGGTATCTGCGTCAAGTGTGGGAAGGGCGTGTATGGGGCCAGCCAGGCTTGCCAGGCCATGGGGAACCTCTATCACACCAACTGTTTCACCTGTTGCTCCTGTGGTGAGTAAAACCATCAGTGAAGTGAGATGGCTCCTGGAGCCTGCTTGAATTCCACCTGAATGTATCCTCGTCCTCAGCAATGCTGGTTTGCAGGGGGCCGGATGTGAGAAATGATCTTAGGTGTGCTCACGCATGACCTTTGGTGATTATCTATGTTAGAACTTATAACTGAGATCCACATGCATTTTGATTTGCTGCGTTCGGACTGGTTCCCAGTATCTGAACAGGAGTGGTTCACGTGTGGCTGTAATCAACCAGTAGCATGGATGGTATTGTTAACCAGGTCACGGGGTCTTCAAAGTTTTCCCCCCTCCGGCAAGATTCCATAGCATCCCTAGAACCCATCATCCTAACCTGAGCATCCTCTGTTTCGAAACCAAGATTTGACAGAGTAAAGTTCGAGGAAGACATGAGACCAATGCTGGATGAGCTAATAGCTGTTCCTGTTTGCAGTCCCAGATTACAGACAGCAGGCACCAGTTCTAATTGTTCTCAGGTTACAGAAGGACCCCCCCCCCCCTTCCCATGTGGTTACAAAAAAAGAAGAAAAAAACAGGAACCTTGTATAAAGTCATTATTAAAAGAGAGAACAGCTCAAAGCCACTGTTTAGTAACAGCGAAGCACAAAGACGATGCGGCAGATGTTTGAATTCTCCCTTTTGTTTCTGATAATGTATGGAGGCTGACAATTCAGATGTGAGAGGAAAAAAATTGGAAAGTGTATCTAACAATAGCCAAAAAAGAGGGAAAACACTATTCCCTGGAAATCTCCCCCGGTCCCTCTGGTTGCAAACGGATACTGTTTTTGTTGTTTGTTTACAGCAAAAAGGGTTTAAATGGTTTACAGATTATTGCTTTGTAGTTTTGCCTCAGCCGTGTGCTTTTACCATCGTGGATACACCCCTCAGTGCCCTCTCAGACTGTGACTCAACCACCCGGTGAGGAATCCCTCACAAGGTTAAAATGTTCGGCTCACCTCAAAGCCACAAAGTGCAGCAACGTGCAGACGCAAATCTTTTTTTTGTTTTGTTTTTTTCAACAGAAAAGATATTCCTTTCCTATGTGTGATGTTTCAGATGTAGCTGCCCTCACATGCAGAATCGGTCTTTCTGTAAGCAGCAGTTCCAGCACAACTGAGCCGGAGCTACAGTCAGGGTCAGAATATCTGCTGCTTCCAGCAGGGCTTTGTGTCAGCTCTCTGCAGAAAGGAACGAGTTAAAGATGACTCGAAGGAATAAGATGTTTATATTGTTTGATCTTTCAGTCTGCAATTGACATGTATGTGCAAAGTACATTATAGATTGTGTAAATGTGCCTTGTGTGAGCTCCTGGATGCTCCTGTCACCCGACTCCTGCCCTTCTCTCCCTATTCCCGGTGAAAACAAGAGGGATGATGTTGGAAGAGAGCCTTTTAGCCAGGTTCCATTCATATGTGTACTATGCATGGATACTGATCCTCCACCTCAGCCCCTCCGGCTCTGGAAGAACTGCCTATAATTTACATGTAACCAAAGCCATATACTTTCCGATTTATTGTGTCTGAAGAAAGAGGGGCCAGATGCCGAGTGTCCTGTTGCTGTGGTTTTTCTGTGGAAAAAGAAGCTTCCGGCCGATCTTGTGTTAAGATTTTTTTTTCCAAAGTGGTCTTCATGAGACTTTCAGGGACCGTTGTTCCCAGCATTTGGTCGGTCTAACAACCATTTATAGAACAAGCAGACCATTTCCTCTGAAGTCTGAAAACCAAACAAGAAAGTGGCCAAACGAGGCACCTTCACGGGAAGTAATTACTTTTAGACATCTCGAGAATTGTAGCTGGTTTTCTCAGAGAACTCGCGTCAGCTGTTCGGCAGCAGGTCATTTTCTGTAGTGTGCACAAGGCTTTGGCAGCTTTGATGGGCCAGCCCTCCTCTCTAGACAGTTTATTGGTAACCTAAACTACACAATCTATCATTTGACCTCTTGTAAATGGGAATGTTTCTTCTTTTTTAAAACAGTGTTTTGAAGGCCTCTGAGTAGTTTACTTTCAAAGTGCCTGCACTTGTCATCACACAACCTGGTGATTTATCAAGAGCCGAGTTCTCATGTGCCGGGCTTGTTTTTCGATTTTCCTTTTTTGTGTTCCATCTTTATTTTGCCGCCTTCTTGCCCTCGTGCGGCGTCCTCCTGCAGCTCCGCAGTGAGGCAGAGTTTGCCGAGACATTGCTCGCTGGTAGCCTTGGGCTTTGTTTAACCATGCATAATTGAGCCCTCCTCTTGGCTTACTCCCATGGTTGCACCCTTTTTTCATGAGATGGCCAAGAATGCAACCCTCCCCACCACCACTTCAGCCAGCCTTCCCTGGAGGACCTCAATCACACAGTCACAAAGTGTACCAGACCTCCTTATCAGAGGGGGCAGGCCTGCGATGGACTCACTTTAAACGGCACACGCTCGGCCAAATATGATTGTGTACTGGTGCAGACACAAACGGACATGGTTTGGGATCTGTTTAGTGTAGATTTACTCTTTTAAGCTAAGCATGAACTGCCGTGCCATTCAAACCAAGGCTGTTTGGGGTTTTTTTGTTGCAGACTGTCCCAGAATGCATCCCTCCTAGCAAAATATCCTCTATCTGGAATGAATGTGTAACATCCAGACAGGCAGTTGTTTAAAAATAAGCAAATGTCCTGATAAATTGAAAGAAAGGCAAAAGGCCTTGGGCTGTATGAGAGGACCATCATCCACAAGGCTGACTGTTAGATTCTGAAAGCACAGAAGGCAGGTGAATACTCAGGAGCTTGAATTTCCTAAATCTTTCAACTCTAATAGTCACATGTGACAGAAAGCTGGAACCTGGATCTCAAACACACACAGAGTGTTCAGTTCTTTGCGCTTTATTCTTAAAGTTCTATCCATACGCTGTTCTGGCAGCATGTACGCGGGTGGTCAGTCGGCCCACAGTTTACAAGCCGGCACCAGTATTGTGTTTTCGACTCCTTCATGTAACGTTTCTGCTTTGTTTGGGCTTGCATTTGAGTTCCTTCTCTTTATGTAACATGCAACATGCAGACTCGTCGCTTTGAGACATGTTGCAACCAGGACCTTTATGGAGCACTGCTTTGCTCAGCTTTAGCTGAATCTGTGAATGATTTTAAGGGGTTACATTTGCCACGTTAAAAGCTTTTTAAAAAGCAATCACAGATTCTTCATCTTGTTGTTGTTCCCAACCAGGAGCACTCGTGTCCTCACACAGAGACGAGACAGATCACTAAAGGGGTTTCCCCTTAATTATGTGATTCCTCCAAAAGTGAATCTGGTACACAAATAAACAGTAGCAGGAATCTTCCCCGAGTTGTTGATAAAATCAGGGAAGGATTTAAATCCTTTAATCAAAGCTGTGTGCCAGGCTCGGCTGGAATGTGTTTTGCTTTCAATTTCAACATTTGCTTGCTTAAGGGGAGTGGAAGCAGTTGCTGGTGACACATTTCTGGTATGCCACTAATGCAAATGTTGAACTGGCTTAGACGTGACACAATTAATGCTTAAAGAACACTAATACAGGTCCATGCAGGATTATAATTGCACTGTACATATTAGAAAAAAACATTTTGAAGCTGCTTTGTGAGCAGATAAAACCTGGGCAAAGCTCCAGTTTTGCTGCCAAAGACATGAAGATGAACCGTCAGTGGCTCATCTTCTCTGTTAGGCTGCATTATTGTCCGTGTCAAAAACATAAGTCACCCTCAATAAGAAGTGTTGTCCTAAAGCCCCGTTTACGTGTGCAGTTGCAGAGATTCTGACCTGAGAGGGACCAGACTTTGTTGTTGGCATGCTGTTCCTGCTGGAATGCTGGCAGGTCTGCGCTGTGATTGGATGCTGAGTGGCTCTCATTTTGACTAAATAATCAACATAATTGCATGGCAGCAGTTGGGGATATGATTGCTTTGAGGTGTCTCACTGCTTGGCACAGCAGACTTTGGCTGTAAATTTAGATTTGTTTAGTCAAAGTGATTCAACGCCGAGATGAGCACTCTTAGATTTGAAAGTATTTTGTAATAGGAAAACTCCACCGCCACCAGTAGACAAATAACTAATCTGAAGTTGAGGCATATCTCCAGTTGGAATGTGACTTCTTACGGGGCCCTGTCTGCATCTGCATTTTCAGTATCTTCTAAAAAGTCTGAGCAGATCAGTGTTTGGCCGCTGCGTATTTAGACCTATACCCCGATCACATTCCCATCGGCCACCGATACAGGGCGACCTTCCACACTGATAACACTGCTCCACCTCACCTACACTAGAAAAGAGGAAGCCGGATTTCGACTTCCTCTGACGTCTGGAAAGGGAGGCTACCGATAACCTCTTCAAGGGAGCTGCGATTTGAAGAGCGAGCACTGCCGTTGCTTCCCACCGAAAACAACCCAACTCTGTCACCTTCATTTATGTGACAAACCAGGAGAACCCTACGTAGAAAGGATTGGTAAAACCATCACTTAGAGTTAAAAATATCAATCTATATCAACACGATTCCAGACTAGACTATAGAAATGTGCAGAATATCACATACGAGCACCTACAATGGAATTTTAAATGTCAATCTAACTGCTAAATACAGCAGGAACAATATAGCTTTTCATTTGTTTGCTCAGACAAAAAAAAAAGTTGCAAATTTTCCACTGGATTTTAGTCTTTTACTAGCCAAAAAACTGTTTCCTGCAATAGAAAGACACCAATATCTGATGTTCTTTAGGCTGTTTTGCTCGTGTTTCATGTCCTCGTTACGTTCCCTTTATGGGAGGCTGTGGTAGCAAAGCTAAATTCACTTTCCAAGAGCTTCCTGTTTTTCTTTTTTCACCTCCTTCTTTTGGCTCTGGGAGCAGACTACACACCATAGTGACTTAGGTTATATGTCATCACCATTCCTATTTTATTTTTTTTGTTGTTGTTACAAATGATCATTTTTCCATTTTAATCCGATTAGGGGACCATCAGGTCGAATGTGAGGATCCAGTTTATGTATCATATGAAGCTTTTGCAGTGAATTAGTTATACTCTTGTCATCCTGATTATTTTGTATTCTTAACATCCATAGATTGAGAGGGAGGAGTCCATCCAGCAGTTTTGAACTGACTTATATACCACCATAAGATGACTTGGCACAGTCAACCTTGCAGCATCATCAACATTTAGAAAAGTTCCTTCTCTTCAGCAGCGTGTACTAAAGTTTGAAATGGTCTCTCTGGAGCTTAATTTATTCCCTGGTGACTTGAGTTTTCTAAAGTAGTGTCACACACCTTAAGCGCAGGTTGCTCAAGCAGAAATCCTGTCATGTTTCCGTGGAACCAAACCCCAACTTAATACCAGTTTGTCTGTTTTGAAAAGCAGTCAGGATTGTTCTTTAATCTTTAGACCAAAAAACAAGCTTGAGCATCCCTGCAGGAGGAGATTGGCTGTTGGTTAACATGCTCCGGCACAGGAGGGAATTTTAGCCAAACGAAACCTTTTTTCCACGATAACACATTTGTCCTCTTTAGCTAGGTGAATGCCTATTTCCATGGCAACACTCTCATTCAAAATGAGTGCATTAGCAGAATGAGCCCTGTTTCCTAAATGGCTCGATATTACATGCACCCAAGATTGAGGAGAGCAGAGGTCAGGGACATAAAGTACTGTAGAAACAAAAAGAACCAACACTGGGACTGTAGAAGAGGATCATTTTCTTTATGTGTCATGGTTAAAGATATTTGAAGAGTTTGGATTAGTGTCCAGGGAGCATAAATGAGCTTTTAGGAGCCTATTTTGTGAACAATAATATGAGTCCTGTTCTCAGAATTTCATTTTACCAGTTAGACTAAAAGTGAAGGTGTGTTTTGAATCGAGTTGCATTCAGTTTTCTGAAGTCCAGCTCTCCAAAGTCTGCTAGTTCTGAACGGGGGTGCCCGGTTTGGTCCCTTGCAGTGATGTGAGGATGTTTGGCCTCGCTGCTGCGCTGTCTGGTGACAAAAGGCCAGAGGGGAGAGAAGAAGGCAGGGAGCCCTCCCCCTCCTTTTTCTCAGTGAGCGAAGCGGGCAGGGAGCGGGTGCTGGAGAGGTGCGAGGGGGGTGGGTGGGCTGGGGTGGGGTGAATGGGACCAGCTAGTGACCTCAGGCAGCAAGAATGTCCCCGTTTGCTCAGTCGGCCTGCTCCCCTAACAGTGCTCCACACAGTCATCAGCACTGGGGCCTTTGTGTTCACCTTCCAGACCCCAAAGTGCAGAGCAGAGGCCACAGACCAGCACACAGCAGCACCTCGCGGCCCCCGCCGCCGTTCTGTTCACTAAAACCTCACTATTCCTGGGAGTTTAGCCCCTCCAAAGATTTTGAAGATGGTTTAGTTTTTCAACAATCTGGCTGCTCCCTCCCCTCCCCTCCTTTCCACCAAAATGCTAATTGCTCCTCAGTCTTAAAGTCTTCAAAGTTGCACCTTTTGTCTGGACAACATTCCTTTGCGGCCGCTGCCACCATTTATGTGGTTGTTAATGTCATGCCATCGCTCAGCATTTTGAAATACAGCGATTGCATACATTTCTGTTCAAAAAAGGAATTCTGAAGGGTAGCGGGGGGCCTTTAGCGTGCTTGGACACCCATAAAATCAACGGTGGCCTCGGGACGACAATTCAATCTGACTAATCCAGCAGATTTATGAGATCTGTGGGTTTGGTCTGCCAGGCTTCTGGTGAAGTCACCGTGCTTGCCAGAGAAACAGGGTTGCTGCTAAATGAATTTGAATGGGCGAGCTGTGTGAGATGCATAGCAGGGGGCTGCAGAAGCCAGCAGAATTTTCTTTTCAGTTTGGATTCAAACTTGGGTTCCGATGAATGAAAGCGCAAGAGGAATTCAGCCCTCACACTCTTGAGGTCCAGTTTGCTCGGCCTGAGATCTCTGTGGTATGGGCATGTTTGGATTTTAGCCCTGCTTTAATTAATAGTTTGTGTTCAAAATGTGTCCTAAACATTAATACGCTGGTAATGCTCAGCTATTATTTAGTTGTTAAATGTGAAACATCCCTATGAAATCTTTTTGGTTCCTAATAAGTGAAAAAGAAAAAAGATACTAATGAATAACCAGATCAGTAGCGTGGGTCAGGGTAAGGGACGTCCTCCCTCCCATCTGTTGTTTTCAGGCTGTCTGTGGGCTGGACACAATGGGATGGAAGGAAGGAGGAGAAAGTTTGGGGGAGGCTTGGAAAGCAGCTAGCTGTATTGATCGTGTGTAGTTTGTGAGTGGAATCATGTTGGGATCAATTGACGCCACCAGACTGCTGCAGTGGCAATGCGTTGATTTTATTTTTTTGTTAGATTTTTTTTAGAAAGACTCATGCAGTCTGAAGCACAGGTTAACAGATGTCGTGTCCCTCTGTCATGTCCGACACAATGGGCTGTGTTTCACCATCAAACTCGAATTTATAAGAAAAAGAGAATCACAACTCCCCCTTGAGCCTAATAAATGAGATTCCCCAGGGGTTTGTAGTTTTTCACATACAATCAAGGAACTCCCAGTTGTTGCAATAATAAATAAAAGACTTCCAGAGAACAAGAGATCCTAACTAACTTCCAGATATATATCATGCTCCTAATACACATCTTCTTATAGTTTCCATAGAGCACCCTAATGGCATATTTGTATACAGTTTTTGGTACATGTGATGGTAGAACTTCAGGAACACTGCGTCCAAAATGCCTCACTAAAAACTTCTAGATTTGTGCCGGAATCTTACTTCGATCTAACCGTACCCATGGGACTCGAGGGCAGTTTTCCGTCATGGGTCGGTTAATGGCTAACTGACCATTTTAGCAGTCACTGCAGCTTCCTCTTCGTGCTTCTCTGTTTCCTCTCCACTGTTTAGTTTACCAACCTTGTGACACTTTATGCAACATGGTATACTGCTTTCTTCCTTTTTAAAACGGCAGAACGAGGATTAAACTCTGACCTCCGGCCAGTTACACAAAGTGCCAACTGTTATCTCCAAAGTTGGAATGTGCCCGTTCATTAAGAGTCCGCTCTACGGTCCTAGACCGAAAGCCCATCAAGAGGATGTCCAGATCCCTGGGATCATAAAGCTGTTTGGGGGCAGAGCCTCCGCTACACTTTTACTGTCGATTTAATTTGCTTTCTTTGCTTCCAGGGAGGAGGCTGCGAGGGAAGGCATTCTACAACGTCAATGGGAAGGTCTATTGTGAGGAGGATTTCCTGGTAAGCCACCTGTACACTCACACTTGGTGGATTCTGGGATGCCTGAGGCTGGAAAGACAGGAGGTGCAGGTGGAGCTCATGAGAATGGATGTCATGCTCTGTGGTGCAGCTTTCTTTTTGGAAGAGTCTGCTGCTACAACACAGGGTCAAACCCCCTCCTCAAACCCACGCGGAGTCTCCGCTAATGTCCACCAAATTTCCCCAAGGAGCTCATTCACCCCGTGAGCGTTTAAGAGGTGTGGGAGGGGTGTTGCACAGCTGAAGCCGCTCCATCTGCTTCAGGTTAGCAGGGCAGACACAGGGTTTGGTCTCATGGCGACTGAGCTCATTTCAGGTCCAGAATGGGGTAACATTAGTTTTATTGTATGGGTGAAACAGGTTTCGGGCACTCTAACTCTGTGCTAGTAAGCAAGAAGAACTGAAAGAAAGGAGAAGGAGGATAATTTCCCTACAAGGAGGAAGTGGCCCTGTAAACAGCTTTATAATTCAGATGAGCTCATTATGCGTGGTCTCATCTGCTGACATTACTTCCCCTTAGAGTTAAACTCGTGGCTCCAGAATTGCTGTTTCGCCACCAGTGTGGTTCCACGCCGGAGGTCAGATGACCGAATGAGAATAATAATCTCCCGCATCCCTTAGAGTTGACTAGATTGCCCCGTCACCCCTGGGGGCGTGCGGGGGACGGGGGAGGTGGTGGCAGATGGTAGAGTCGGGAGTGATGTCAGGGCAGGGGGCAGGCTGCCCATCACCACCTCCCACCTCCACCTGGTGGCCGAGTCCCCTCGGTCAGGCCCCGCGTGTCATCAGGTCATGACCCAAAGGGGGTCTGCGCCGCAGATGGTCACCTTCATTATCTGCCTGAGCTGCGGGCTAAACTGAAGAGAGGCCGTCTGAATTACACAGGCTGTTTTGAGTCTCGTTACGGAAAGAAGGCACTCGGCTCCCCCAGCTTGCTTCGTTCTGTATCATATTTGACATAAAGTAAATATAAAAGATCAAGGCAGGGCCATACTAAAAGAAACCAAAAATATAACGCCTTTTCAGGACACCAGACTGCATCACAGGGCAGAGACAAAGGATTCAGACAGACAACCCTCCAGTGAGCGTAAAGAGCGCAGCAGCACCCTCTATAGGTCACCCCCCTGACAAAGACATTTTAGACTTAAAAGCTGTGAGACTCCACGTATCTGATCACCACTGAGGATATAATTCCTGCCGTCTGTGTCCCCCACAGTACTCCGGCTTCCAGCAGACAGCTGAGAAGTGCTTTGTGTGCGGTCACCTCATCATGGAGATGGTAAGAATCTAAAGCGGCCAGTTCACAAGGGTAGCATCGTGTGACCATGCACACCTCACCTGAGCATTTCCCCTTTGTCTTATATCGCATGGCCTTTCTCTCAAGTTTTTCCTTGTTGTTTTTTTTTCTTTCCCTTATTGTCTTGGCTTGTGTGCGTGCGTGGGTGTTTAGATCCTCCAGGCGCTCGGCAAGTCCTACCACCCCGGCTGTTTCCGCTGTGTAGTGTGTAAAGAGGGTCTAGATGGAGTGCCTTTCACTGTGGATGTTGAGAACAACATCTACTGTGTCAAAGACTACCACACGTAAGGAAAACCTGCCTCTCTCTGTTTGTTTGTACTTGTATGTGTTTTCAAGAGTGTATTTGAACATACCATTTATTAAAAAGGCATTCCTCATTTGAAATAAATCGGAAAATGAAGTGATTTCAGTTTCACAGAGAGCAGTGGGATTCAGCCAGTAATCTCCATTGTTTTCCATTATAGGGTTTTTGCTCCCAAGTGTGCCTCTTGCAACCAGCCCATCCTTCCTGCCCAGGTAAAAACCTTGTTTTTATTTAAGGTTGCAGGTTTATTTGATTGAAGTTTTTGCTGTATGACTTGTAGCATCGTGCTTTCCCAAACCAGATTTCTTATATGTCAACCATTTATGTGTATGTGAGTGTCAGGTTTAGGAATTTCAGGTGTCTGATAACTGGAACATGGTTTTCTCTGTCTTGTAAGCAGGTGTGGTAAAATTCTCCATTATGTCCTAAATAGTTAAGCATGTGAAATGTGTGGTTTTGAGTGTTTAATTGCCTGAGAACCCACAGAGGGATGTCAAGTGAGCTCTTGATGGAAATTAAATAAGCCATTTCTCATTTTGAAGAAAAACTAATCCACATTTACAGTCACAAAATGGTCTGCCTGACACATACTGGGAAAATACAGTCGTTAACATGCAGGAAAAGAGGATCTTCCCCAAATCCGTCACGGAAAGATGGTAGGGCACATTAGTAAGGAGAAGAAGAGGACTGATGTGGAGCAGAATGCTCTTCCACTGCATTGTGGACAGCTCTGTAATGCACATGTTTAATTATCAAAGCTGGTATATTAAAAAGGAAAGAAAATCCATTAATGATAAATATTTGCAACCCCCTGCTTCCATGCACATTTATTTACAAATCTCGTATGAAAATAAGGCTGCAGCCAGAGGGAACTTTGGAATGGAAACAACTCATATCGTTAAATTAAAGGAGCAGCCAGTGATTCTTATTCTAAAGATTATAATAAAGAAAGCCGCAATGCATTTTGTTCCTCTGCACATTGAAGATCCAATATTATTTTGCTCATCTAAATGGAAGACATGCAGAGCTGGGCCCACAGAAGCGGGGCAAAGGCAGAGTCATGCATGTCTTCCAGTGGTTTGTGGTCCTCTCAAAATGCGAAGGTCTATAAAAACACATAAAGGGGGGCAGGGGGGCTTATATGTAAGAATAAATAAAAACTTTGTTACAGTATTTTGTATCATACCACTGTGTGGGAAGCTAGGTCTGTGTGTGTTTCTTCAGACATCAGTGCATCTGCAAGGATAGAACCTTACTTTTTCTTTCTCTGTGTTTGTTCCCACAGGGCTCTGAGGAGACCATCAGGGTTGTTTCTATGGACAAGGACTACCACGTGGAGTGTTACCACTGTGAGGTGAGAGCCACCTATCACTACCACTTTGCCCACACTCACACACACACACACTCTCACTCACTCGATACCATGTGAGGTATGAGTAAAAGCTGTCTGCCATTGATGCCATTTAACTTTGGATGAATTTAGCATCCCAAGTCAATGATTCAGCTTTTCTGGCTGTCGGAAAGAATGAAAAACCACATACACCAACACAGCTAAACATTTACACACCATTCTGCCAGACAGACACACACTCACCTGATTTTGAGCAGAAGGATACGCATCCTCTCTGCCCCATAAAAGCTGTGAACTTGAGTAAGAGCCAACAGATTGTGGAATGAGACGAGACTTTTGTACCACGAGCGTGAATCATCGCTCTTGTGGGACGAGCGAGACGCTCGCAGACAGTTCCCAACCTCTCCGCTCAACACTGTGACTCATGGCAGATTCCAGCGTTGTGCCCCGACCTCGGCCGGGGGGGGGGTGTGTGTGCTTGTTTTTAAACCACAGCGCTACGGTGACACAGTTTGTACCTCGGGAGTGATGGGATGGCTTTCACGATGGCGGGTGTGTTAGCCCACCCCGCGGTGTTTTCTTTAACTGAGCGCAGAGCGGCGCTTCTCCTGAGCTCAGCGGCAGGAGAACAGTTGCTAATGCTTCTGAATGGCCAGCATTCCGCTTCACAGAAATGGATTAGATCATTATGTAAGCAGCGGGTAATCATTGAACCAAGCACCGGAGGGGCAGGCTAAAGTCTGCGGCTGAATCATTGGAGAATTGGAGATGGTGAATTCATTACACATTGCAGGGAGAAGCTTGTTTTCTGTGGCACTGTAACACCTCCGGCGTCTCCACAGTTGCCGCACTTGATGTTGAGCTAAGGGTAGTGAGACCAGCTTGCAATTTAATTGTGTTTCTAATGAACGTGAATGTTTTGTGGCTGTTTATCCAGTTGTGAATCATCAGCGTGGACAGTGAGTTTATGTAATTCTTCCAGTAGACTCTGAGCCCACCCGTGGGTCTCATCCTGTCAGCTGCGAGCTGAATTCCTCGGCAGGGTCAAGGTTCATCTAGTTAATTCTTAAGCGGGAGGCAGACCTTTTATAGTCAGAAATCTCTCTGGATTTCTGTTACTCCGTGTGGGTCAACGCGCATCATCTCAGACTCACCTTAGCGCTTCGCAGCATCTTTAGAAGGTCCCGAAAAACGGCAGAAAAATGGCAGAAGTCGGCACATTAATATAACAGCACATCGGTGACCATTCTAACACGAACCTGTTGAGCTCTCTCACAAGTCGGCCCCTCTTAGTTTTCTCATCTGCTTTAAAAGTATTGAGCTTTTCCATTTAAATGTGTGCTGGGTTGTCAGAGCATGTCCAGCTTGAGTCCCTTTGTCTGTGGTGTGTTCATGTCTCTGTCTTCACGGTTCCCTCTCAGGAATGTGGTCTTCAGCTAAATGACGAGGAAGGCCATCGCTGTTATCCACTGGAGGGACACCTTCTGTGCCACAGCTGCCACATCCACCGGCTCCAGTCGAAGGTGCCCGCACACCCGCCCCCGAGCTACCCCCTCCACGTCACTGAACTGTGAGTAGTTGGACCAAACTCCTCCGCCTACCAGGCGACCCAGGACACCAGCAGTGGGCGAAAGAGGCCCACACCCATCCTCCAGCAGTTCCAGGAAAGCCTGTGTGTGCGACCATGAGATACTGCCCCCGTCCTGAGCTGGACAGCCGGGCCATGGATCCACACACACACACACACTGCGCCACTAGCCCCTTCCTCCATCTGCATTACTCCCCCCCCCCCCCTTCCATCTGGGTGCCTAACCCTGAAACCGGCTCACCCAGAGGCCCCTGGTGACGTCACACCCCCTGACCTCTTCACATCCATCAAAGAGAGGGTTGTTGGACCTCTCTCTTTGCTCCCCCTCTCTTCTTCTCCACGCTCTTCATTCCTGCGCGCCGACTGAGGCGTCAGGCAGGCCGGGGAAGGAGCCGCTCCACTCCAAACGCTGGCTGGATGGGACAGGCAGTGCCTTCAGAGCGGGCTCGCTCCGTGCTGCTCCAAAACACTGAAACAGAGTCCCGCGAAAGGCTATGCAAAGGACACCCAGCATCCCGACACAGGGCTGCGCGAACAGAAAAAAACAAACTGCCTCTCGTCATCCTGCGCTGCGCAGACATGACACGCACCCGCAGCACCACGAGCCCACAGGTCCGACCGACATTCCACGTAGAAGACTGAGACGACACTTCAAGAGATTCACGAGCATTGTCTTAATCGATGATTATCTAATGACAAGAGAGAGAAATTTTTTAGATGCACATAGATTGTCTTTTATATATGAATATATATTTCGCAGATGTTTTCCACATAAGTTTCTAGATGTAGTGTTTTTTTTGTTGTTTTGATTTATTGTTCTACGTTGCCGCGCTCGCGATAGAACCAGAGGCAGAGCGAAAGCCTCTGCTGCTCCCGGGTCTGTTTTATCATTTCTCCGCCAAGACACAAAGACTCTTCACGTCTGTCAGACATCTACCGGCGGGCGCCTACCGGCTCCACGGGAGCGGACTCGACTAAAATAGCGTTCGCATCCAGTTGTTTTATCCTGCTTTGAGCTCCGTGTGACTGCTCTGATCAGGTATCCTCAGTTAGAACGACAGACCAAACGGGCTGGAGCACACATAGGCAACGGTTTCCATGGGGAGGGAGAATGAAAAGTGATGGCGAGCGTTTCCAGACTTTTTGTTTTGTGTGCCGATTCTTAAGCAGTGTTCAAAGCTGAGTAAAACAAATTGCGTGCTTACCTACGGGCATCTTTAGCTCCCCGTGGCTGTTCCCTGGTGAGTTTCCAGTCGCCCTCATAAGAGCTCATAGGGCGCAACTATGAGGAGCCCCCACTTGTCCACATGCCTTAAAACAGAACGGGTATGTTTGTGCGTCCCGCTGTTGTCTGCCATGAAGTCCGCCGTTGTGCTTGTCTTTACTTTTTCTTTTTTTTAAGCGATGGGGGGCCCCTGAAATCATGGAGCTGCTGGTCCCACCCATGTTTTCTTTCAGGGAGCCCAACCCACCTTTACCTGATTGAGTTTGTTTGTGTGAGTGTGTGCGCACACTCTGGCAGGCACTTAAGTGTTTTAGTGAGTGTGTCCGTGTGTAAGTGTGTATATGCAAAAGAAGACCTACATGAGACAAAAAAAAAAACAACAACACTTGAACCTCCAAACTGTGGTGGTGCTGGAAGAACCTTCCCACCTTTCCCCTTGGACTCTTTCCTTATTTTTATAGTGATACTCAATATTTCATGACACACATTAGAGCCCAGAGTTCTAATCATTAAATCATCTGCTTATGCTTTTGCAGATAAACCCCAAGGATATGTGTTTATTTCACATATGAGCAAATTGTGTAAAGGCCTTACGTGTGGGTGTATGAAAGAAGAGAGTGTGTACGCTTGTGTGAGTGTGTGTGTGTGTGTGTGCAAAAATGGCAGGGCCATGGCACATGCACTTCACTGTGTTTGCAGGGCAGAGCAGCATCCAGCAGGATGACCGTGACTAGATGACCCTGTCTCTCCATACCTTTATACCAGATTTTGGACGTTGTTGAACACAGGAGGCTTGCACATGGCTTCCAGCTAATGTTCCTGTCGTGTAAACTTTGTCTGTAGCCGCCACTGACTGTCCGCCACGGACGCTACAATAAACCAGTCGCCAATTCCTCGCTCGAAGACACTGACCCAGCTCTCATCTGTACCTTAACTCTGTAATCCACACAGGTCCGAATGAATACTACTGAGTGTGTATCAACAAAAAAAAAAAAGTGAAAAAGGCAAGGGTCTCCACAGTCAGAGTGCTTTCTATTGTAACCTGATGTAATGAGATTCATGTGAATGTAATAATTAGTATTTGTAAAAGCAGATAAGAAAAAGGACTGCAAACTGTATTTGAGACATTCCGGCTGTCATTTAATGTGTTTAACCTTACCTTTGTGGAAGGGTCGAGTACTGTGTGCTATACTTGAAGAACGAGGCATCTGTGTTATCCTGCACAACATCATCCCCCAAGAAAAACCTAACAGGACCAGACTGTATGTCCCTGAAAGATGTCTTAATTCACTTGTTTAAAAGTACTACTTCAGTTTCTTTTGCATGGCGCACAGCCAGTTACCCTGTACACTAAGAGGCTAGGGTTTGTTTTTGTTTCTTGGCTATTTTATTTTCCTGTTAAGAATCACTCGGAAAGAGAACATTTCCTCTTCTCCTACTGATAGTTCCAACAAGCACATCTCAACACTTTTTTTTTTTTATATTGCTAAGTGTTTTGATTACCTAGAAGGTTCATTTAAAAAAAGGAGACTAGATCTATTTATCTAAACCTGAAAAAGTTTAAAGTTATTTAATGTATTAAAATTGGGACGTATCATTTAACTGTAGATGAAATAATCTGCTTTTTCAATAAAGTGGTTTTGTAGCTAACTGCAGAAGATGTTGGCTTCTCTTTTGATTTGACACTTTTCCTGGGTTAGTTTACACATCAGGACCGTTGTATATCAGTATATTTCGTATCGGATGCTCTGAAGTGCTTGGGCATCTTGTGTGCTCATCGTAGCAAGGTTCTTTAACACTCGATTGTGGCATATCTGTGTGCAGTTTGCATGTTATGGCTGAGCTTGCGTGGCTTCTTCCCCACAGTCAGTCATGTTGGTGATAAGCTGGCTGTTGGTTTGAAAATGCCTTTCATTTGTCCAGGCTGTACCAAAAATACAGCTGAGATAGGTTTGCTGCATGAATTAAGAAGGCTTCGGGAAAGAAACGACATATTTGTTCCATTCCTTTAATAAGACGCACAAAGCATTTATTTTAGGTATGGATGTCATTTAATTATTTACCAGTCCAGATGAAAATAGATAAACTAGCACACATTTTTTAAGAGGTAGGGTAAAACAAGAACAAGTCGAACAATACAAACTCTAAACAATATATGAATCACTGAAACAGTGTAATATGATAGTCATTTGATGTCAGCATTTCAGATTTGGATTTAGTCTTTTTGTACTGTCTTGTAGGGTGGAACGTTAAAGCTTTAAACTAGAAAAATTGATGAAAGCATTAGGGGCTGTGTCTACTTTAAAGTGAAGTCAGTTCCCCCAGTCGATTGTAAAGGGTTTATTCTTTATTATATCCAAAAGCCTCAAACTGAGTGCACTTATCTGTTTCTGAAGCAATCACATAACACCGTGTAAGTAAGAGGATGAAAATTTTCACCTTGTAACCTGTCACTTCCTTTTTCTTTTACCCTCCCTGACTCTGCTCTCTCTTTTCTCTGTTACTTGCCAATAGGTTTCATCAAGATTCAGTGGTCCCTTGATGTCCGCCAGATCATTCTGACTTTTGACAAGGAGCTTCAACCGTTAAACTTTTTTTTTTTTTTTTTTTTTTTTTTACAGATGGTGAAGTTGGTGTTCGGTGAACTCTATAAGCTGAATTAGTTTGTCAAACTATCACCCTCTTAAAAATTAAGTACTGATATATGATTTCGCACCACACATTTATTCATTTTAAATCTCATGTGATAAACCTCTCCTGAATGGTTTATGATTGTTTAAATGTTGGAAACGACTTGACCATCGGAAAGTCTGCATCCAAAAAGTATGGCAGAGATAAAGGCAGGCTGGAGACAACTGATAAACAATCATTTAAAGGAATGTACTGAAAAGACAGAGATAAACAGTAAGCGGTTTCTACCAGAGGAAGCTTGTTGATTTGGCTGTAACCTTGCTGTTGACCCTTTTAGTAAACTGCTTGGGTGCATAACCATTCCTGGAAACATCACACTGGAACAATTAAGTGATTCAGAGGGGACTATCATAGAATATCACGGACCATTCAGAGGATAAACTATTGTTTTCAATTTTTCACAAAAAGCTGCTCGCTGACAAAACCTTTGAGCAGAACACGATCTTTCAGAGACATTTGAGTAAATGAAACATAGAGAACAAGATTAAATATGTTCCTGTTTCACCGGATAGTGAATATTATTTTAGATCTGGTTGATGAGATGTTGGCATGTATGAAGAGACCGCACCCCTGTGGTGCTGTATTGTACGACATTTGTGCTAACTGGAGCATAAAGTTTTTAAACTGGGATTCTCTTCCCAAGATTAGATGTAAAAGAAGGGATATTATTATATCCCCTAGATTATTAGGAAGATACATTAGTCATCAAATAACTGCATGGAGCTATCAGACACAGGCCCCGTGTCCAAGAACCAAAGGTGATGTCAAGTATGAGTGTCACAAACACAATGAGACAGAAAGACTTATAAATCACTGGATTTCCATAAAATTGCGATGGAAATTTAAAAAAAAAATGATAAAAGCAATACAACACAGGTGCACAATGGTGGGAAAAAAATAGAAATTATCAAAACGACCAAAATGTGAAAATATTGGTATGTAGTGGTGAATTTAGCTTTCTTTGTTTTTCTTACGTCTTGCTTTGATTTGTTTTGTTGACCACAAAAAAGGACAAAGTGAGCAATGGAAATTGATTGATATTTGATGCTTTGCTACTGGAATGATTTCTGTTGGTCTTGGTATTTTTTTCCACATCTGTTATGATGCTTAATTATGCAGGGGAAAATTTGTTTGCACAGGGAAACAGCCGACTGGGAAGAAGAGCCCAAATACATTGGAGATGAAGAGGAGACAGCTGGGAGGCAGAGTAAGGCTAAAATGGAGAAAAAGGACGAGGAAGTTTAAAGCATCACTTTCCCTGTCCAAAGGTGTGTGTGTGTGTGGGGGGGTTGAATCATTAGCTGGTCAAACTGAATAATGCACACTGCGTAGTTCTGAAAAGGTCGCAGGATGAAAACTGGGAAGGCAGTATCATTCGTTTTTCCAAGGTTTCGTTTAACCTGCAGGAATGAGAAAAGCATGGATGTGGACATTTGGAGACACTCGACCAAGCTTGCAGTGCATTTCTGTGCTCCACGTGTTCTGCTTCTGACCGGGTTCCTGTCATCTGCTGGGACCTGACCCCTGATACCTGCTGACTCTTTGTGAAATCATCAACGAGGCTGTTGTCAAGGTACAAAAACGCCTTTCTAATCCATTCATGGAGATCTCTGAAGGTTTCAACAACACCTCTGTCTCAACCACACTTCATCACAGAGGTGGCCGTCATGTTTGTAACTTGATTTATGTTTCTGTCATTTTGTTTTAGTCTGTCCGTAACAAAAAATGATCTATAACGATATTCAGTACTACAGTTATAGGATTTCCCTGTGGGAATACTTCAACTGTGCAATAGAGAAATGCAAATGTCACATGTTTTAATTGATGACCGCATTTACTGGAGTTGCATTTCTAACAAACAATGGGTTTGTTAGGAGGGTTTCATGGCTGCCCTCCATTTCCCAAACATTAAAAACATGAATCCTATCTCTGCATGGAGGAATGTAAACAGCATAATTTTATCTTTATACACGCCCTCTATCATTTTTTTTACACAAGGCTGCCAACTGATTTATGTTAAAATGCAAACTACACAACATTTAATGCTGTGAAATGAGAACAATGCTTAATATGTCAAAGTTGGTTCACTTTATACCGTACTCATGCTTACATCACTTTTCTCTAACTTGTGGAGAAGTAGCTTTACAGTATTTTGTTTTCCTCCTCTGATTAGTGAGGATAGTTGGAGAGGACCAAAACAACATCCACAAAAGATCTTCAATTATCTCTGAAACTGTGAATTTTCGGTTAGTGGTTTCCATATGCATAATGACAATTGGGTCAACATCACAGGCAGATATCTGTACTGGGAGATACAGCAATGTCTTTGTCAGGTAGAAAAAAGATTCTTTTAACTTTTTCATGGCATTTTAACCTGGTGATAAGAGGGCTTGGGCCAGTGCAGAATGGCCGTCACCTCAGTTTGTCCATTGTTTTCAGCACTCATAGCAAGAAATCAAGATATGTTGATATGTCTTTGTGGTTACATGCCAGCATGTTTTGTGAAACACAGCGCTAAAAGGCTTAATGCAACCGCTCCATCACACACATCATACAGAGGATGTATGAGCCCCTGTTTCTGTCATCTTTGAAACCAACATTCCACACGTTATTTTGCACATCGGTTTCCTCGGAATGTCAAAGTTGACATAGTTTTCCTCAAGCCACCCTTGAATTTTCTGTAATGTTTTTATATTTTGTGGGATATGGACTTGTCAAAAATGCTAATCCTGCAAAAGGTAGAACTTTCTGTGTTCGTCTCTCTTATCACAGCAGGTGTTACAGAGAAATATTTCTTCACTGCGATACTCTCATCTTAATGATAGGATGATGGTGTTTTCCACACACTGCACTGGGAATGCTAGTGAAATAGTTCAATCTTAATTTTGAACTGATCTGGAGAATTTTCATTCCATTTTCTCTGAGTTTTCCTTTTTGGACAGCTCCCAAAATCCCTTTAAGTG